CTCAATAGGAAATGTACTCATTACCTTACTCATGTAACTGTAACCCCTCTGTATTTTTACAATAAAAATATATACAAAAAGAAATAAAAAGTAAAATATTACAATAAAAAAGCAAAAGAAAAGAAAAATGAAAAGTAATCCTTTTGGTATTTGATGTGAAGCCTTACTGCTCCTATTTGTGGATTCATGAGGGATTTGTATAAGGAGCACTGCTGCTTTTGTTGGGTTCACTAGCAGCCCCTGCTGTTGACTAGCTAGCAGGTAGCTTGGCTGACTAGCAACAACCCCAGTTTAGGCTCTTTCATACCAGTCTCTCATCTTCCAGCAGGCTGGATAGGGTTGCTCTCAGAGTGATGGCAAATGCACAGGAGATCAAGGCCCTAGCAGGCCACAAGTCAAGCTTCTGCTTGTTTCAAATCTCTTATATTCTTATTTTTCAAAGCAATCACTCATGGAGGAATGGGATATGTCACTCCACTTTGAGTTTCAGGCCAGTGGCATGAATTCAGAAATAGGTGATGAACTGGAGCTGTCATGTCAGGATAACATACTAACCTAGGTTCCTTTAATTTCTGAAGACTAAATTAACCTTTCTGTTGAAAAGCTTCTCTTTCTATTTTGAATATCTTCTTTTCTAATTTTTTGGTGCAAAAGATGAATTTCCTCCTTATTTAATATCACATCAGTTTATATAGTTATATAACTTTGCATATCATATTCATGTTTTATCTATTAAAATATTATCTTGCTTTATGCTTTCTACTTTCTATTGTTCCTTTTTAAATTTTCTTATCGATTGTGTACATGTGTATCTACATATGTATGTTCATGTGTGTTTACGAATGTGTGTGCACGTGTGCATGTTTGTATATGCACTGTTGCTTAGACTTTTATAATTTTTAGTGAGTAGAATTTAATGTGTACTGTTTTTTGTTTGTTTGTGCTGGTCCCGGGGCTTGAACTCAGGGCATGAATTCTGTCCCTGAGGTTTTTGGCTTGAGGTTAGTATTGTCACACTTGAGCCACAGCTCCACTTCCAACTTTTTTTGGATGGTTAATTGGAGATGAGAATCTCACAGACTTTCCTGCTGGAGCTGGCTTTGAATCACTATCTCTACATATCATCTCAGCCTCCTAAGTAGCTAGAATTACAGGTGTGCGGTGCCTGAATTGTGTTCTGTTCAATAGCAGTCCACATGCACAGTTTTCCATACAGTGTTAAAGCACTACCAATCTATTTTTGGAGTGCTTTCCAACATGCCTACTTCTATAAAGCCTGGTCTACATTCTTGGGCATGGAAGAATGACTTTTGTCATTGCCTTTCTGTTTTACAATATTTAACCATGAAGCATTATTTGACTTACTTCAACCCTTGTTATTTTCTCAGACTGTGCCTCTCTATTAATAAATCTCTATTAATAAATCAAACATTCCTATTTAAAAGCGATCATGTCAGGAGGCATACCATATTCTATATGAGTGATATCTTTCAAGAAAGTTACCAAATTATTATATCACAAATCTTTAAAGCTAGAATATGGCATTCATTACACTTTTATCTGTCCAATCTACTGTTTTAGAAGAAAAATATGAAGCCATCATTGCTCCATTTCTCGATGTGTAACCTGGATTTTCTACCTTGATATTTTTAGGATACTTTAATCTTTCATGGAAAGCCAAACAAGTATCTAGGAAGTTTATCGGTGAGTCTGATTAACTGATTTCCTCTGTGTTGTGGTGAACCTATTCAATTTGCAAATTCCAGCATGAAAAATTATTTTCTTAATTACTGTAGCTGCTACCTTCTTCTCTCCATCAAAATTGCTGCCTTCAGAACACCAACAACTTTTAATTTGCATAATTCTCTGTTTTACACCTAAGTTTTCCTTCATAATTTTGACACCTTTCTTTATTGCTTACTATAAGATGAAGTCTGCATGTTAAAGCATTTGTGTATGATTTATTCTGCTATTGCATTTTTAATTTTCCTGAACTGAAGTATTTCATCATTTTGTTCTTCATCTGATCCTGTTACTTTTTTATCTAATAAATAGTTCTCTTTATTACCTCCTTCTCCTGCTTTGAAATAATATTTTTCTTATGTCCCAGTGAAGATATTCTAGAGTTTTCTACAATAACTTCTACATCTAGTAATCAAGTATAGATTTCTGCTGTGGGTTTAGGGTGATTATTTGTTTCCCTTTTTTTTTTTAATCACAGAGAAACCACTGTTCGTTTCCTGTGGTCAAGTAAAATCTATTTGGGCTTGAAGCGGACCAGCAGTTTGATGTTTGATTTGTTGGCTGTATTTGGCCCTTTTTCATGTTTCAGCTGATAAGGCAGATGACATGATTCCCTATAAAATTTGCAAAGTGTAGGAAGCATTTATAGGTACCACGGTTCATTCCATTATTCAATTACTTATCCTCTGGTACTCCGAAGAGATGCAGTATCAAGGTTTTAAGTATTCCAAGTATAGCTCCTGAGAATAGAGTGCAGGCCTTGAGTCTCCCTCACTGTCTTCCTTTGTGTTCCTGTAAATATTTGTGACAACACTGTATGTATACTTCTAAAATTAGACTTATTATAAGAGATGTAATATATTATGCCCACTATTAAAATATTTATTAGTTCATTTCTTGTATTTGATTTGTGATGCATTTGAAAAGTATAATTGCTGAGAAATACATGAATACTTTTGTAAGCTTTTGAAATGCATTTGAAAATTCCTTTCCTATATACTCTTATTAAATGGAAGTTCCAAAAGAAATATGAATATGGACTCTCATAAAAATCAGTTGGAAATAAATCTTTTGGGATATTGTGCTTATAAAAATTTCGACTCTGGGGGCTGGGAAGGTGGCTCAGTGGTAGAGCACTTGCCTTGCATGCTCGAGGCCCTAGGTTTGATTCCTCAGCACCACATAAGAAAAAAGCCAAAAGTGGCGCTGTGGCTCAAGTGGTAGAGCATTAGCCTTGAGCTGAAGAGCTGAGGGACAGCGCCCAGGCCCAGAGTTCAGGCCCCACGACCGGACCCCCACCCCCCAAAAAAGAAAAATTTCTACTCTGAAAATCAATGAAAAACAAATTAAAAAATATATTTTTCCATGGCTTAGTACTGCTACTATCTGTCTTTTTCAGTTATTTCATTCTCTGTCCCACTTCCTTCTGAGATAGATAAATTATTAGGAGTTGGTAGGTACATTGACTATACATGTCTACATCAATATAAAATAATATATAAAGTATTTTACATTTTTGTGCCATTATACACAGTCCTATGATTAATATATTTGTACAGAAAATTCTTAAAAATATAAATATTTTAAAGATATGTACATATTGTACATACACACAGACACACAAATATAAAATTTTCAAAGCAATATTGTTCATTTATGATCTTCACATTCTTGAACGTGAGTGCTTGTTATGTTTATTCTCAGAAATCTTATTACACTTTTTTTTTTTCTCTGCATTTTTATTGAGACACAGGATCTTGTTATGTAGCGTAGGCTGAAATCAATCTTATCATTGTCTTAGCCTCTCAACTGGTAGGACTTCTTTAATTATTTCTTGTTTATTTGAAGAATTTCTCTATACTGTACATTTTAAAACTCTGACATAGTAAGTGATATCATTTGTTCAAATTTGTATTCTTTTGAGAAATTGTGAGGTAAAGAGAATTTTTCTGTCTTGGTGCCAGGGACTTACGACTGCAATCCTAGCTACTCATTAGGTTGAGACCTGAAGATCTCAGCCAACCAGGCAGGAATGTCCATGAGACTAATCTCCAATAAACTACTAAAAATAAAAGCTAGAAGTAGAACCTGTAGCTCAAATAGTAGAACAGTAACCTTGAGCAAAACAAAACAAAACAACCACCACCAAAACCAAAACCAAAAACTCAGGGACAGCAGTCAGGCCCTGAGTTCGTTTCAGGACCTACATATGAGAGAGTAGACAGAGAGAGAGAGACCGAGACAGTTACGGAGGCTTTTTTCATTATATAAGAGCACATATGATGCACATATGATTATATATCTATATATACATATGTGTATATATGATTATATATGAGTACATCTTAAAGCTTTTGTTAATATTCATAATTAATTTATCTCCTTTTATTGGCAGACTTGTAAACTTCCTTTAGAAATGCATTCTTTCATGCCATTTTTATCAAAGAGAAAGTAGATTACCTTCAAACTTGAAGTGATTTACATTTTGGTAAGAATGTGGCCTGTGGGAAGGAGTGCAGTGGCTGATAACTGTAACCCAGAGTACAAGGAGGAGAGAATCAGGAGGATCATAGTTTGAGGTTGAGCTCAGGCAAAAAATATGTCATAAGAACCCTTCCCAAACAATAAAAAGCCTGGTGTGTTGGTACCTGGCTGTCACCTCAGATAACTGAGAAGTTCACATAGGAGGATCAAAGTGCAGGTTTTCCTGTACAAAAATAGTAAGCTAGAACTATAAGTCAAGTGGTAGAACAGCTACCTGGCAAGAAAAAGGCCCAGAGTTCAAACCTCAGTATTGCCCCAATTAAATATAAAAAAAGAAAAGAAAATGGCTTTTTGAAAGTGTGAAATTTTTGTTGTTGTTTACAAATAAGATTAGGTTTTCATTTTTGATAAGTGTATTTGGATATTTTTGCAATTGACTCATGAGAAATGTTGTAGAGAGTGCCTTGGTTTACCGTTCTATTTGTTAGGAGCCCCATTGCTACGTTCTGTTTTGGTCAGATTAAAAAAGATCTTGTGCATTTATTAATGTTTTTATTTTTCACTTATTTTTAAAAATTATTTCTAGTTCATCAAGCCTTTTATCCTAAGCCATGTACTGAAGTTACTCAGTGAGTGATATGGAAGTGATAATGAAGTGAAACCCTCTATCTCTGAAGTTCACGTTTATACTTTTAACAGCATCAAGGATCCAATATTATCTTCATATTTATCTTGACTTTTTTTTTCTGATTTCAGAAAATAAAAGACCATGCCTTGAATTCTCCAACCTAAATGTAAAGGATTCTTTAAAAGACCTGTTTGTTCCCAAAATAAAAATCATTCTGATGATGTATACAAGGAACAATCTAAAATGCGCAGAGCCACTTTTTGAGCATAATAATTCACTTAACATCAATTTCAACATACAAAAGAAAACAGTTTGGATCATTCATGGATACAGACCGCTGGGCTCTACCCCATCATGGCTTCAAAAGTTTCTGAGGATTTTGTTGAATGAAGAAGATGCTAATGTAATTGTTGTGGACTGGAACCAGGGTGCTACAACTTTTATTTACAATCGAGCAGTAAAAAATACCAGAAAAGTTGCTGAGAGTTTGAGTGAATCCATTCTAAATCTTTTAGTAAGTCTGGAATTTTTATGCATTGTATTTGTTATGTAAGAAATGTTATATTATACACCAACGTGGTGATACATTTAATCACTTTTTGTAGTATTTAGCATTATTACTTTAATATGCTGCTTTGTACAGTTTTGTTTTCTTGCTTCAAATGATAGCTATGTACCTGAATATCCCGTCTCATTTTTTAATTATCTTAAAATTCCAGTTATTGTTATTACTCGCTTTTATTTAAAATATTGTTAGAATTTATAAATTCTTTTTAAGTCTCCCATATTGAACCAAGAATAAAGTGGTATTTGTATAGAGTGAGACAGGAGGATAATCTGTATAATTATTTCTTTATTTCTCTTGCTTTATTGATGGTACTGGGGTTTGAACTCAGGGCTGTACTTGCTAGGCACACACTATACCACTTAAGCCTCTGATCAGAATGGCTTTTTCCGAGACTGTATTGTTTTTGTCCACTATCCTCCTATTAATGTGTCCTTTATACCTAGAACGCCATCTTTCTGTTGGTTGAGCTTTTTAGTCATCTCATGCATGCTTTTTTTTTGTTTTGCCTAGGTTAGCCTCCAACCAGAATCCTCCCAATCTGAACTTTATACACAACTAGGATTATGTTTATGAGACACTACACTTGGCTAATCATTTCATTATTTATATAACTCTTCTAAAGACATGGCTGGCATGTTTGTATTTAATGAAGTGAGTTGTCGTAAAATGAAGGGGAAAGTAGCTACTTCTGCCAAACTCAAAGGCCAGTTCCATTCAGGGTTGAAGTGGATCAAATAATCTGAGGCAAGTTCTATGTCATCTGTAGTTTCAGTGACTCTTGGTTACTAAGTTTATGCTTATGGATATTCATGTCTGTCCTAAGACATATGAGTAATTAGAGAAAAAGAATGTTCCATGGGCTTGAAATGGACACTTGAACTGTGTTCTGAAATTCCAAAACTATGCTGATCTTCAGGGAGGATAGCAAATCCAAGAAGTAGGCACATAAAGTGCTTAGGATGGGTTCAGAACCTGAGTCACCTACTATCATCTATATACTATATTTCATGACATTTGTGATAAAAACTTTATAATAATGTTTGTTGGGAATATGGTATAAATATTAAATATATGTGTATGTGTGTATTTGATGAGCCAGTGGGTAAGGCTTAGTAATTATTGAATAATCCAACTTTCATTATCTTTTTCCTGTCTCCAACACTGTAGAAAAGCATATCATCTTTGGAAAGGCAGAGGAGATGCATTCTTATTGGTAGTCTATGAAATTGTGATAGTTGATTATTTTTGGAATAAAATTGTCTGTAATAGAAATTTATGCCAATTTGTAGAAAGTGTGAGAGTTAAGTAGAGAAATTAAGGAAATATAGCATTAGATATGATTCTCCTTTTGTTTGGAAAGTACTTTTATTAAGGGGAAAGGATAGAAAGATCAGTAGCACTGAAGTTTGCAGAAACAGTTCCTCAGATTTGAGGGGAAGTTTATGTAGAAAGTTTCTAATTCTAGTTTTCCAATCATATGAAATGTTTCACATCTTCCAATAAGCTTTCTGCCATGGCATTACATAGGCACGACTGTGCTCTTCTTATAAGTCTCCTCTACTACCTACTGCCTCTTTTGTGAGCCTAATGAAACACTGAAACTTAGATTTGAGTCCATCACTGTCCATTTTGATAAGGAAAATATCCTTTAAAATCCATCATCATCATCATCACCATTATCATCATCATCATCATCATCATTTCTGAAGTAAAAAATGATTTATATATTTTCCCAATTTTCCTGTGATTTTTGATACAATATGGTCATACAACAAGACAGGCAGATTAACACACATAATCAAACTGATCTGACCTGTGTCTATCCATTTAAGCTGGTATAACAAAATAATACTGAACGGAAAGTATTTCTCACAGTTCAGTTTGCTGAGAAATTCAAGAGCAAAGATCTGAAAGAAGTTGGGCTTGCTGATGGTCCGCTTGCTGATTCATAGATGATGTCTTCTCATGTGTCCTTACATGTGGTAGGGAGCAGATGAGCTCCCACAACTATCTTTTATCAGGCATGACTCCCATACTTGGATACTCTAAACTCATGGCTCACCTTCTCCATATGCCATTATTTTAATGGCTAAGATTTCAACATACTAACTTTTGGAGAACAAATATATTAGGACAATAGCCACTTGAAAATTCTCTTAAATGATATGTGGCTTTGGACAAGTCTTTAATATGTGAGCCTTTTGTATTAGTAAAGTAGGAAATCATTGGAAGTCTTATTTAGTGTTTAATAAGTTCCCAGCTCAATTTTGGAAAATATAATCAAAGTAAATGATTTATAGATAAAGCAGTAATATTAAATGAGACACTTAAGAGCATGTATCAAAGTACCTATCAAAATATAAGTATCTAATAATGGCAATTAATAATCTAACAATGTCTATCATAATAGTAATAATAAGATTATAATATACACTAAGAATCTAGCAATTTATATTATTATCATTACATACATTGAAAATTAAATGATTAAATGGCATTTTACATATGCCATTCTGCAATAACAAGTCTTTCAGAGTTTTTAAATGAAAGATGAATGATATTATTATAAATAAATAGAGACAAATCACAAGTCTTATGGCACATGTTGGACAAAGATAAAATTATTTCAAGTCGGGCGCGGGTGGTTCACTCCTGTAATCCTAGCTACTCAGGAGGCTGAGATCTGGGGATCACAGTTCAAAGCCAGCCTGGGCAAGAAGTCTGTGAAACTCTTATCTCCAATAAACCACCAGAAAACCGGAAGTGGCGCTGTAGCTCAAGTGGTAGAGTGCTAGCCTTGAGCTGAAGAGCTGAGGGACAGTGCTCAGGCCCAGAGTTCAAGCTCCACAACCAATCAAAAAAAAACAAACAAACCAAAAACGGAATTGTGAGGTCCCCTTCACTTTATCCAGAAGTGGATTAAAACAGAAAAAAATAATGAGCTGTAGAGTGTTGATGTATGAGACATGACTTTTGATTACCCCTAAATGAAAATAATGAACCTCTTTCCATTACAGAAGCATGGGGCATCTCTTGATAATTTTCATCTCATAGGAATGAGCTTAGGAGCTCATATTAGTGGCTTTGTTGGCAAGATGTTTCATGGCCAACTTGGAAGAATAACAGGTAAAATCATTTCTAAATATCAGATGTTATTTTATTTAAAATGTATAGATTCTCCAACTAACAATAGACATTTTGTGAACATTCAGTTTTTCCTATTATATTCAGATAACAACCCTTATTTTAGTTAGAGTGTAGTCTTTTGGGTTCTAAATGCTGAATGAGCATGTGGAAATGAGCTACCTTTGAAGGTCTACCTAAAATGTATGGGTACATTGCTGTAATCACTACAAGAAAACCTGGCTGCTAAATTATTTTTTATTTGTTGGCTAAAATTGGAGCTCTGCATTTATTTTTCACAACCTTTGAGGTATTTTAAGACTTTTAAACATTTTTCTCTAGTGTTAGAAGAAGCAGGAGTTTGCATCTAATTTTTAAGGAACTTCGAATCCTAATTTCCCCTATTATTATGGAAAAGTTATTCTTGAGACTATTCATTAGCCAAATCAAACCACCATGGTGTTTTTTATTCTTTCTTCTAGTCATGGTGGTAACTTTTATCAGCAGAATACTATCATTCTCCAAATATTTTATGGTTTTTAAGGAATTCTTCATATCTGCATTCTTGGAAGATTTGTTTATAATGTCAAGTATTAACAAAAATGTAATAGAATCTTTAGTTAGCTTTCAAAAAAGGGAAAAAGAGCAAGTTATATAAGAAAGTATGTTCACACAATTTTTAGTCTAATGTAATCTTTTAATAAAATAGGCAAAAATTAGGGTTTAAAGGTTTTGTATTAGACTGATTCATAGGAAAGAAAAAGAAATAAATGAGCTGCTCAGTCAAATGACTACATAAAACAAGAAGGTTGTAAGAAGAACAAGATTAAGTTTTACAGTAATTTAAAAATAATTTTTCTTCAATTGTATAGACGTTTTGAAGAATCTGAATATTATCTCCTCTCTACATGTTTTAATAGTCTTGACAAATTCATGGACATGACACTTACTATATATTCATTATTTATATTTTAAGATACTGCAGAAATAAATATCCCAAATCCACAGAATTTTAAGCCTATGTTATTTTCATTACCATATTTGGAGAAGTCTTGTGAGAAACAAATGATAATACACTTATGTCTTATGCCACAACTCATATAGTTTTTAACATCTAAAAGACCTTTTAGGCCAATCCAAAATGAACTAATAAAGCACAGAGTAATGGAGGACCAAGTGTTATTTATTGTGATATTTTTGGTTTTGTTTTGTGTTTTCTGTAAGAGAAGTTTCATTAAGCACAAACTCATTATAGTTTACTACTAATTACTGCTTAAAACTCTAAAATACTTTATAATGTCTTGTTAAGGTCTTTCTAGTATGGTTAAATTCTCTAACCTTTGAACATTCAAATAATGAAAAAAATCTTTTATTTTCAAGTTTAATTTACCTATGTATGTGTGGTGATCTTTATGAATATGGGCTTATATGTGAGCATGTATATGTGTACATGTGTGTATATTTTAAATGTAATATTAATGAAGTGTACCATAAAATGAGTCTTCATTACATTAGTAATTTCCTTTTTTTCTCGTCTCAGGTCTTGACCCTGCTGGCCCAAAATTTTCTGGAAAACCACCAAATAGCAGATTAGATTACACTGATGCCAAGTTTGTGGATGTCATTCATTCTGATGCGAAAGGTAACACAGCAAATAATTGGCTCAGTTATTGAAAAGTGAAAAATTGCTGGGCGCCCGTGTAATCACGCCTGTAATTCTAGCTATTCAGGAGGTTGAGATCTGAGGATAGAAGTTCAAAGCCAGCTAGGAAGGAAAGTCCGTGAGACTCTTATCTCCAATAAACCACTAGAAAACTGGGAGTGGTGCTGTGGCTCAAGCGGTAGAGCGCTCGCCTTGAGCTGAATTGCTGTGGGACAGCACCCAGGCCCAGAGTTCAAGCCCCACGACCAACAACAGCAACAACAAAAAAAGTGAAAAATTAACTATAGACCTTGAGGGAATAGGGGTTCTGAGAAGAGAAAGATTACTGGATCTTTCTTAATGAGGCTGTACACTATTCATGATACATTGGGCCTTCAGTTTGCTTTAATCAAGTTCCAAAAGGGCCATATGATCATAAACACTGAAATTTTACACAAGACACAGAGAATTCTTTCTGTTCATGCTCTTGACAGTCATTGGCTGTCATGTTTCTTTCCTATGCTTAGTGATTTTTCTAGGTTCCTGTTTTTGTTTGTTTTATTTACTCATTTCTCAAAGAATTAGTTTAACAATGAGTAAAAAGTGCAACTTAAAATAGCTTTTATTTAAAGATTAATTTTCAATGAATTTTATATACCTACTTTTATTATTGCTGCTGACATAATAATGTACACTTTGTGATTCTTGGCTACCTTTCCTCCCCTTCCTCTCCCCTTCCACCGCCTTCTCCTCCTCTTGCTCCTCCTTCCTTTCTTTCTCCCTCCCCACTTTTTCTTCTTAGGTTTAGGAATTCAAGAGCCATTAGGTCATATAGATTTTTATCCAAATGGAGGAAAAAAACAACCTGGCTGTCCTAAATCAATCTTCTCAGGTATGCGACTCATATTTTCAAATGCCGTACATTTGATTCATCTTGGCCCATGGTTGAGGAGAGTTTGTCAAAGAAAGGGTTAATTCAAGCTTTCTTAATTCATAACATGGATATAACATTTCACCATGATATGACCTGTTAGGTTTGAGTTCCAATGAACTTATTTCATCATTACAAACATTAGGAGACATTTGAAATCATCGAGGAAACACAATCAGTAAAGTCAGGAGACTTTTAACATTTAACAATAAATTTAACATTTACTCTCACCACACTACTAGATTATCATATTTATGAACTGCTTGGCACTTGGTTGCCCTGTCCATGGACAGATGGAGAACTACTACAAACTTGGTGATTTGGTTCACAGTGGCATCTGCTCAGGTTGCCCATGTTCAAAAATTCCAGCTTAGAGAAGTTTAGTCAAAACAACAAGGCTTTGAGGAGCTACGAAAGGAAAGGGAGATCATAAAGTTAAAATGTAGCTCATTTATAGTCACTTGTGACAAATGATGGAAATCTTAAGTGGGAAGATTAAATTAGAAAGGAGAAATTTGTAACTGGGTTAGTTAATAAATACCCCAGCACTTCTGTTACTAAAATTAAGTATCCTTTCTATGTTGTTTATTGCTTTCCAAAATGTAATATTAATCTCATGTTAAACTCAAGGGTTTATACTGGGTGGCTTGTGGTAGAACTCTGTGTTGTAGTCAATACTTCTATAAGTTATGCTTGACGTAGAACTTTGTGTTATAGTCAATACTTCTATAAGTTATACTTAGGAAAGTAGAACTTAATCTTCTACTTGAACTCCCTTTAATATAACTACAATTATTGTGCTTTTTATTTTCATCCCAAAGGAGTGGAGTATCTTAAATGTGACCACCAGAGAGCAGTTCATCTGTTCTTGGCTGCTTTGGAAACAGACTGCAATTTTATTTCCTTTCCTTGTGGTTCCTACAAAGAGTACAAGAGTAGTTTATGTGTGGACTGTGACAGTTTCATGAAAGACTCCTGTCCACGGCTTGGTAAGAGAGATTGCTACAGTGATGATAAATGCTTTCAAAGATCACTAACAAAAGCATTAGTACATGCTGAAAGCTAAACTATGTTTTATATTTGTTAATAGGTTAATCACTTCTAGCAATTTACCTGTGGTGAGATAGAGGAAGTATTTATTTTTTTCCCCTACTAAAAGTTTATAAGCTGTTCAATGAGAGAAACTTGTCCAACTGTTCTCCTATGCTCCATGTAGTAGGCAATTCCAATGACCCTTGTTCTTGATATTACAAGGAAACCTCACTATCATCCAACTTTGTATCCACTTAAAGAAATTTTCACATTCTTTGCAGAACTGAGAGGTTTGTTTTCCCCCTTGATATTTTGAATAAGAAGTCTTAGGATCAAATAAAGGATGAAGTGAAGCTATGTGATGGTCTACAACTATTTTTAGTGGTTCTCAACAAGAGTCATAAGTCATACGTAGTTCACACTTTGAAGTCCATAAAACTTGGTAAGAGCAGTGAAGCATTATGGCTTCTGAAACCAAATGGCTGTCAATAGGGAATTTTAGAAAAAAGAAATCTACATAAATATAGTATTGAGAACTGCACAGTCTAAGAAATTGTGTTTTCCAAAAAGAATACAAGGCTGTGGAATGTCATGAACATGTACACATCTGGTCTGCATCACGGGAGGATGTTCCAGAAAGATTTTCAAATCCAAAGAGTTCAAGAAATAAAGAATGATTGTCAAGAATGAGTTGAACCTGACATTTTTTAGAGAGGAGTTGTTGTTGTTTTTCAGGAGTAACTACATATGGAGAATATTAGGCAAGGCATGCATTATGTAAATTTTGCCATTCTTTTTATTTTTATAGACCTCTTCTGTTCCCAAGTCTGGATGGGTTACTCACTTGCTTTAGCCTTAACTTGAGAATTGCCTTTCTTGGCCTAGTATTTTCTTAAATATGACTTAGATTGGATACATGGATTGCTAAAGAGCATAGTGAGAAATAAATTTCAGCCTTTGAATTCTCAATTGACTATTGAGTACTCTTTTCCCTATATTCAAATCTAAAACTTTTGGTGGGAATATAAGAAAAAGAAGCACTTGAATTAATTACAGATTTAGGTAATAAATTTTATAAATATCTAAACATGTGATATGTGTTATAAATAGTACATATCCCATATATGTAATTATGTTATAGGTAATACATAGTGTATATAGATGCCTTATTGTATTCTTGCATATATTTTATATATTGTATTGGCACATACCCATAGTCTTTATGTGACTCTGTATATAGTCCATTGGAGGCTCTACAGAGCTAAATTGTATGTTCAAATATATAATATAATTAAATTAATTCTGATAATTGAAGAGTGTTGTCAATAAAATTTTAAACTCAAAGCAGTGAAATGTGACTCAAATGAGCTGTAGTCCTGTGAGCTATGCTAAATGGACTGTAGTCCTGTAAGATATGCTAAGTTTAGATAGGATATTTAGGGAGTTAATTTATATATGAATATTGAATTTATATTAAATAAATAGGATGCTGCCTTTCTGAAAAACTGCTTTGTAAGGCATAAAAATCCATGATAATAATAATGATGACAATGATGGTAATGAGGCAATTTATGTTGAGTTGTTTAGTTTCTTTAATTTTAATTTTTTGTATGTTATTGGAGAGAAGTTCTGTTTCCAGCATTCTGTTTCTAAAATTTCAGGTTATCAACCTAAACTATGGAAAGGAGATTTAAAAGATTTAAGAAGGGATGGTTTACCTCTGAGGACCACTGCATTTTTAGATACGGCAGGCAAGAGTCCATTCTGTAGTAAGTTGTTAACATTTTTAACACATAAGCAAATTATTTATTCTTCATACACTTTTCCATTTATGTAAAATATTATTTTAAATCTCTCAACTTTTATTATGCTTATCAAAATATTGACCACTTGGACAAATTGAACAGGTCTAGATTATTTTTAGGTTAAAACCCCCAAAATTTATCAAAAGTTATTAGATAAAATGAACAGGATTCTGTAATATTTTCCAAAAGAAACAATCAAAATCATACCTGAATTAGCATGAATATCATCCCTATCCTGGAGTTATTAGTGAATACAACATGTTACACATGTAGATGTCTAAATTGCATAGCTGTATAAATCTATACACCTGCCAACACCCATTTGAGAACTTAAACTATATTTCTACCAAGAAGTAATAAAGGTGATGACCATCCTAATATGTTTAGGCTTCTATAAGAGGAAAAAAGTAATATAGGAAACTCATATAAATGTGCTCAATAATTTAACTAAGAAAGTAGTAAAGAAAGCAGTTACTGTTTAGAGATGAAAAGATAGGACTATTTGATAAAGAATAAAAGTTCTACTATGTAAAGAATTCTTCCTCCCTTTCCTTCCTTCCTTCCTTCCTTCCTTCCTTCCTTCCTTCCTTCCTTCCTTCCTTCCTTCCTACCTTCGTTCGTTTCTTTCTTTCTTTCTTCCTTTCTCTCTTTCTTTCTCTCCCTTTCTCCCTCCCTCCTTCCCTCTCTCTCTCTGTCTTTCTCCCCTTTCCTCTCTCTCGTAATACTGTAGATGGATCACAGGGCAAGGAGCTTAAGTACTCTTTCATATAAACTATACCCCAGCTTTCAGCATGTTTAAAAATTTATGTTTTTGAGGTAGAGCTTCACCAACTTTTCCAGGCTGTGTCTTGAACATGATTTTTCTCTCTCCACCTTCCAAGTAATTGGGATCCTAGTTAGGTAACAATTGATTATTCCCCAACTCTCACCCCTTCCTTCTACTGCTAAATTTTTACTGGAATACACTTTTCACTATCAATTTCTATTAGTCTTTCGTTTTTGCTTGAAAACACCTTTATCTTTCTTTCACTCAGACATGAAAATACAGTTTGAGATAGTTTTTTTTGTTAAAAGTGATTTATGTCAAGCACTTCAAATATACTTCTCTTTCTTTCAGATAAATTTTCTTTTATTTTCCATTTATTGTCAGTCTAATTATCCCCTGAATTAAATACATACTTTCTGTCTGTTTTTATTAAATGTTTGCTTTATTTTTATTTTCCAGTATTAGCAGTGTGCTCAAATTTGTATTGAATTTGATGAAAAACAGCCATGTGCTAGTGGCTCATACCTGTAAATCTTACCTGAACTACCTCACTCAGGAGAATAAGATCTGAGAATCGCAATTCAAAGCCAGCCTGGACAACTAAGTCCATGAAACTCTTAACTTCAATTAGGCATGCAAACCCCCTTCTCCCCCACAAACAACAACAACAATCCCACAAAACACCTGTGTTTCAAATGGTAGAGTGATAACCTTGAGGAAAAATTAACCCTCAGGTTAACTTTTGAACAGCACCCGGGCTGTTCAAGTCCCAGAAGTGGCATACACAGAGGCAGAGACACAGATACAGACATGCACATACACCCACACACACAGGAAAAAAGATGACAAAAATGGTGTTTGATTATTAGATATTCTTGACTTACTTTGACGTAGAACATTCTTCTTCTTTTTTTTTTTTTAAATACCGTACAGAGGGGTTACAATTACATGGGCAAGGTAATGAGTACATTTCTTATCAAGCATTGTTGCCTCCTCCTTTGTTTCCTTTCCAATCCTTTCTCATCTCCAATACCCCTCCCCCCACGCCAGAGTTGTAAAGTTCTTTTTCGACATAATATCTTGTAATTTCATTGTTGCAATAGGTCCACCCGTATCCCTATTTAAACAATTTGTTTTTTCCTTTCCCCTCCACAAATTATACCAACATCAAATATAGTGAAAATGGGTTATACAGTGGGGGAGGGACATACAAAGCAACAAAGAAATTATCATATATGTGTATATATATATATATATGTTAGAAACAATTTGCAAGAAAGAAAAAAACATTTGAATCCTTATCTTGGAGTTCATTTCGCCTAACACCAACTTATCTGACCGTTTCTGCTTGTCTCAGACATATACTAGTAATAAGGGAAACCAGGGGACCTATGTTTCTTTGGGCCTGGCTTACTTCACTTAATATAATTTTTTCCAAGTCTTTCCATTTCCTAACAAATGGGGCGATGTCATTCTTTCTGATGGAGGCATAGAATTCATATATATATATATATATATATATATATATATATATATATATATCACATTTTCTTTACTCCAGATATTCTTTTAAATTTTCTTTTTGGAACTCCAAGACATTAGTACTATCATCCTGGAACATCTTTATGTAAGTAGTTTGGAATGAAGGTTGTCAACTTGATTTCCATATTGCTGAGAATTTTGTTTATTCTTAAGAGGCTTCCCTGTGTTTATGCACAGCGAACTTGATTTTCAGACTATTTTTTTTTCAGATTTATTTTGATTAAATGGCTATTAGGTTAAATAATTACCATACTGAACTCACCAGCAGGATTTTTATTTCTCATTTTTTAAAATTTAAAACTCAATAACAAACAGGAAGCAAAATACCTTTCCCATTGACCAAGCGAATACTTCTGAACCATATTATTTGTATATTTAATATGAGACTAGATTCTATATATGTATATGTATTTGTATATGTTCCGAAACAAAGTAAATTAAAAAATAATATATGGGCCTTCTGTACTTTTCTGTAGGCTATTATTTTGTTCTCAGTATCATTGCTCTAGATGAAACCATGATGGATGGCTCTATTTCATTTAAGTTATTAAACCAGCATGGAGTGTTTGAAAAGCCAAAGATATATGAGTAAGTACTATTTGGTATGTTCTTTTTTCATAACTTAAATATTCTTTTTTAGGTATTCAGTTCATCTGATAATCCAAACAGACCGAATTTTCTATATAGATACTATTAAAATATTACATATTGAAAGTTCTCATGTGTCATTCTAATTTATTCTAAAGAGAAAGATACTGAATATAAAATAGACTAAATAAATTTATATTATAAAGCTTGTGAGTACAAAAGTGAGGTAAATAGCAGATTCTTTTCTGTTATTTTCACTATTAATTTTATTAATTCCAGTATTATTCTTAAATGCCTTACGTCTTAACATTCTCCACTTTTCAAGCATCATATTCAAAATAATGTAAATAAGTTTTTAATAAGAACAGTCATAATTGAGCAATGCACGTTTTCTTCTTCACACAACTACTCCCAGGCACAAGACTTAACATTCTCCACTTTTCAAGCATCATATTCAAAATAATGTAAATAAGTTTTTAATAAGAACAGTCATAATTGAGCAATGCACATTTTCTTCTTCACACAACTACTCCCAGGCACAAGACTCCCAATCAATAATAGAGAGATAGTTTTAGGTATATGTAGTTATATATTAAGGTTACCAAGTAACAGTAAAGCACATTCTTACATAAGTTTGTAGAATATTGTTTAATCAATTCTTAAAGTAGGATATTGATATTTTTAAGAATGATATAAACATGCATGTTATAATTAAGAATGTTTTTTACTTGTAGTTAAAAGACACAGGTGTCATACTTGCTGAAAAATTTTATTTTGCAATGGTTGGATTTAACAGCTATTTGGTAGATTCAGGAGAAAGATTTAGTATCTCCAAAATGTACTGCTATCTTAAGTGAGTTATAATATTAGAATTGGCAATTTTTTGAAATATACTGTTTGAAGGACATTAGACTTGAATATACTGACATGCAGATCTATACAGCCATTTAGTATGAATCAAGAAAATTTATCTGCCTGTTTATTCATTTGTAAAGCAGTGTTTGCAATAACTTTAAAGTATTAATATTTACAAATTAAAAACTTAAAATATAGACATTTTTCTTGGCTCATAGAAGATACATTTTGTTTAGCAGATAAAAATTACAAACCTTGAAATCCACAGAGAAACTAATGAAATGTTTATGTTGAAAATACACTGAAACTTCTGTATGATGTAAATATATGTTCCATGATGGATACCATGTTCACCCTCAGAAATAATTTCCTGGGTTTAAAGCTGGGTATTTAAAAGAGAAATAATGAGCATACATATAATTTAATGGTGGGATGAAGTTGGTAGCATGAGGGGATGAATTCTTGTTTTTCCTTTTATTTCACCTCCTTCTAGTTACTTAAAGAAGATAAAATAATTTCAATCAAATTCTAAACCAAATTCTTCATTTGTGTGAAGTCCATGTCTCATAAGAACTTTAAAGGTCTTTTATTGGATGTTCGAAGTTTAGTAATTGTGTTTTAGTGACAAATATTCTGAATTAATTACTTTAAATTCCTTAAAATTGTGTATAATTGTATACTATGTAAAATTATATCTATATATAGATTATGCATATATACTTCCATATAAACATATAATTCCATCTTCTTCCTCATATTTAGACTTCTCAGAAATATACCTTATTATCTTTTGAATTAATTTATATTATTTATCACTAACTTATTCAGATATCTTATATAATGCATCCTCAACCTAAAATAGAAAGTGTTATTATTTTTAAGGTGATCATAAAATACAGATGGAGTCTAAGGCATAATTGCATCTCTGAGTAGTAAATTTTATGAAAGATTATCACCTAATGCACTGTCAGTTCACAGTGTAGAAACATGGATGCATGTGAAAGTAAAGCAATGCTGTCCAGAAACAGAGAAGTTTCAAAATCAGAGATAGGAAGCACTAAATTCACAAATAGCACACCAGCTGTTCAGGCTTGTCCAGGATATGAAGAAAATGTGGCCTGATGTACTTTACAAGTATATAAAAGATCATGGGAAAAAATGAGGCATTACACTCATATGCTTGTTAAAACTTGTCATTTAAAGTCTGATTAGTTGCTTTAGTTTATTTTGGAATGGAACTATCTTTTAGATGCTAGAGATATCAGAGAATGTCAAATGACCTTTTATTGCCCTTTAAAAAATAGAAATAGAAAATACTTTCTAATAGTCTAATAATATTCTGTAGAAATTTTTTTTTGTCTTTTTTTTTTTTTTTTTCGGTTGTGGTGCTTGAACTCTGGGCCTGGGCACTGTCCCTCAGCTCTTCAGCTCAAGGCTAGCACTCTACCACTTGAGCCACAGCGCCACTTCCAGTTTTCTGGTAGTTTACTGGAGATAAGAGTTTCATGGACTTTCCTGCCTGGTCTGGCTTTGAACTGTGATCTTCAGATCTCAGCCTCCTGAGTAGTTAGGATTACAGTTGTGAGCCACCAGCACCTGGCTCTCTGTAGAAATTTTGAAGCACCTATGATCGTGTCATTCGAGAATAATTAACATTCAATTCATAATTAGTTCCCATCTCTTTTCTTATGATCCTTTCTTCCTCTTCTTTCTTCTCATATTGATTACCTGCTGCTCCTCTGTCTACATGCCCTTGTAGCCACATACATTATTTAGCAAATTAGCATATTACTGAAACTTTGTTCTGCATGCTGATTTTTATACTTAATGCTACAGTGTGTTCAAAATCCAGTGTTGCTAAAGTCATTCACAGGGTGATTCAGATCAATTTAATACCAGGGCTATTAGTATTGAATTCACAGGTTAGGATGGTCCTGTGAATAGGAAGGGATGTGCTGAATGATACCAGATGGGAAAAAGTGGCTTATATTGCATTCATAGGAAAGACAGTGGGGACCTACACTTAGCCAGCAAAACCATGACGAGGTAGTTTCTAGAAGAGTTTAAAGTTTTCAGAAAGATGGATAATGTGTTTTTTATTATTGGAAATTGTATTATTGGAGATGGAAAAGAAACCAATCAAATATTCTTAGAGGTTTAATCTTGGTGACTTTTTAAAATTAGAGGGAGTAGAATCATGGGAAAGAAGGTAGATGACTGAAGAGAGAAAGTAGAGAGAATGGGGTCGTAAAGTTCAATGCATGTCATTCTTTCTGGTGGAGGCATAGAATTCCATTGTGTATATATACCACATTTTCTTGATCCATTCATCTACTGAGAGGCATCTGGGTTGGTTCCATATCTTAGCTATGGTAAATAATGCTGCAATAAACGTAGTTGTGCTGGTAGCTTTAGTATGGTCTTGTTTGTGATCATTTGGGTAAATGCCCAAAAGTGGGATTGCTGGGTCTTAGTGGAGTTCTATGTGAAGTCTTTTGAGGAACCTCCATACTACTTTCCAAAGTGGTTGAACAAGTTTACATTCCCACCAACAATGAAGTAAGGTTCCCTTCTGTCCACATCCCCTCTGGCATCAGTTGTTGCCCCATTTGCTAGGACTTGGAAAGAATTATATTAAGTGAAGTAAACAGGCCCAACGAAACATAGGTCCCATGGTTTCCCTTATTTGCAATAACTAGTATATGCCCGAGACAAGCAGAACAGGTCAGATAAGTTGATATTAGTCAAAATGCACCCCAGGATAAGGACTCAAGCGGTTTTTCTTTCTTGCTATTGTTTCTAACATACTTATAAGGTGATTTTTTTTTGTTGCTTTGTATGTCCCTCCCCCACGGCATAACCTCTGTTGTCATTGTATTTGATATTGGTATAATTTGAGGAGGGGAAGGGAAAAAACAAATTGTTTGAATAGGCATACAGATAGACCTATTGCAACAATGAAACGTATAAGACTAGCTATGTCGAAAACCAAACTTTACAACTTTGGCGGCAAGGGGTGGGAGTGGGGGTCGGGCGGAACAAAGGAGAAATGTACTCATTACCTTGCTCTTGCAATTGTAACCCCTCTGTACCTTATTTTCACAATAAAAAACTTATTAATAAAAAAATTCAATGCATATCCTACAAAATTAAGAAAATTGAAAAAAAGGAAATTAAGTGAAGAGACAGCCTTGGAGGGATGATGAATAATGATGGAAGGATGGCATTAATGAAGGTGCATTGTTACATCGTGCTCATACACTCCTTTGTTCAGTGACAACTATTTTGTACAACTACTTACAGATAATTTAAAAAATAGCAGCACGTTTCTGTACCAAGCTAGAAGACACATGGAGAGCATACAATTTGATGATTCAATACAGTATTTTGAGAGATTCTTTAGGCCAGGGACTAGCTAAAAATTGGGAATAAAGTTCCTGACAAATTAGATCTCTGTCCTTACTAATTTCAGTTGAGGGTAGCAGATAGGCTTTAAATTAATAATCGAAATAAAACGATAATGTCCATCTTTCCTCTGGCCAAGTAACTTTTAATGGTTATCTGCATTTGAGCTCAGTGGAATGCTAAAGGTTTGTCCAAACAGACATGTTTCTCATTTAGCTTAGAGCTTAATGAGGAACATAAAGGTAATCATATGGTTATAAAATTCAATGAATAATATATCTCCTTGAAAAATATCTTGAAGCAAATGATAGCGTACATGGCAACTTAAATCAGGGGATATAGTTTTATGGGGTCATTAAATTTTCTATACTGATATTTTGTATTAGTGGAGATTCAGATGGGCACAAGTCAATGCCATTGTGATTTCCAGGTTCTTACAAATACAAAAATATGCAGCTGACAGAATATTATGCTTGAAATTAGAGGCAGGGAAAGCAAGAGAGTATGGATCTACTGAAATAAGCACAAGCCATGAGTTTATAATTCAGTCACTGAGCACATTGAAATTTATAATGTTTTAGTTAGAGAAGTCTAGTTGAGGTCAAGATTGGACATTTATTATGGAAAAACAATTGTTTGGAAAGGTAATTTCCATTTCCAATTCTTGCTCTAACTATTGTGGAATTGCTGAGGGGATATATGCTTTTGAAATACATAGGTAATTATGGATTCGAAGAAGATTCAAGACTTTTGCTAGACAGTCATAAGAATTTTTTACCAGTTGTATGTGGGTATGGGAAAAGAAGACTAAGGTGAAGATTGGTACTATTCTATGCCGTAGGAAATGTGTAAGTTTAAAGTTCATATTTCATTTTTTCTTTTTCTTATTGTTTTTGATGAGAAGGGAGAGCGATTGGGAGGATCAAGCATTTAGAGTAGAATTTATTAGCTTTAGGGATTCTTGAGGGATGCAAACCAGTGGACATTTCTGGCATGTAAGGACGAAGAAGGGGAAAGACAGACATGTAAAGGACAGAGATATGGTGGTGTTATATTCTAGCTCATTATCTATTAGCTCTATGATATTAAGAGAGACATCTGTATTCTCTGATACTCAGTTTTTACTTCTGTAAAATGGCAATGTTTCATGGTACAAGGAATTGTTAAGGTAGTTAAATCAGGTCAGACCTGGGAAGTATCATCACTGTTCTCATTTGTTGTGAATAGTCACAAAATTATAATTCAGAAATTATTACCATTATGTTTCTTTTGGGTATTGAACCATTATAGATTACTTCTTTATTTAAATATATTTGACAAATTGGGACAGGAAAACATTTTAAAAGTCCTAGATTATGAAATGTAATAATTGAACAATCTAAAGGAGGGAACTATAAGATGACCAATCTTAGAGAAATTTATAATCTAGTCATTCTCATAGAAAGTCAAGAGAACTCACTTTTAAATACATCTTTAATATTTGTCTAGGAGAATGAATATATTGTTACTATTACTTTTTTGTTATAAATTGTCACTTAAATTATTTAACGTATTTTGACAAATAGTTTTTTGTGGCATTTTCCATGTAGATTGTTCTTTGTAACTTGTCTTATAAAATATATTGATTTTAGAATTAAAGTATTCCAAATATAGTTACTATTCTGATTATATGTCTTTTGTTTAGGAAAAGCAAACCATTTGACAAACTTCAAGAAGTAAAGATTCTTGCTCAATTTTTAAGCGATATTGTGAATATTTCCAGCATTGCTTTGACATATTCCCAGAGCTTAAATCTGCAATGTCCTACTTGCCAATATAAAATACAGAGTCTTGTGTTAAAATCACTTACATATCCTGAAAGGTAAGGAAACTAGATTTTATTTCAAAATGTTATTTTACACTTAAGAATATTGGTCTGTTGGGTAACAGTTTAAGAAGACAAAGCCAAATTTATTTTTCTGTTTCTTTCAGGCTCTATTGTACATAAATATTAGAATACAAAAAGATTAAAAAGTATATAGTTTTTTTTTGTTTGGATAAAATTTAATTTCTTACACACTAGCTTGTGTAAGGAAAGCAGAGGCATTACTAATACCTAAGACACAACAAAGGTGAAATTTTGAGACAAGCAGATTCCTCAGGTATTCATAAATAATTCTTATATATGATATATATTGGCTGAGTGAACGTGTTTATTTATTTATTTTTTGTTGATTGCGGGTGTGAACTCTGGGCTTGGACACTGTCCTTGAGTTCTTCAGCTCAAGGCAAGCGCTCTACTGCTTGAGCCACAGTGCTATTTCCTGTTTCTTGTGGTTTATTGGAGATAAGGGTCTCATGGACTTTGCTGTCTGGCCTGGCTTTGAACCACAATCCTCAGATCTCAACCTCCTAAGTAGCTAGGATTACAGGTGTGAACCACTGGTGCCAGGTGAGTGATTGAATTTTTAAAATGCAATATTATTGTTGTTATTCAGGTATTGCACAGAGGTATTGGAGCAATGTCACCCTTTCCTTTGAGGGTTTTTATTTTTATTTCTTTTTTGTTAAAAAAAACAATTTAGATGGTGTCCAGTGGCTTCAGGTTTTAAATGAAATACATGGTCATAAAGCTAGAAATAATCATAACATGCACTGAGTTTTTTTCTTCCTCATAACTTTGTTATCTTTTTATTCAAAAAGAAGAAAGTCCAGTTACTCTGCTATATCTTAGATTCTACAGATCACTAGAGATACCAACCAGAGATCTACTTTTCAGACTTTAGTGTTATACTCATCTTTATTAGTTTGTCAGTTTATCACAAGTGTTTCCATTCCTATTAAAATGGCACACATGCTTTAGTGAATTTTTTATGACACCCTTAATATGCTATTCTTAAATACTGGAAAGTATGTGAGGGAAAGAAATAGTTATGTCCTGTTGATAAGACTATAATTATTCTAACCTCTATGTAAATCAGTTTGGAGAATCTCTAAAAATTAAAATCAGATGTACCATATGATTCAACTATTTCACAACTGGGTGTAGTACCAAAGGAATCAAGTCAGGAAACATTATTCAATATGGCCAAATTATGGAATCAGACTAGCAAACTACGTATAAGTCAACAGATGAGTCATGAAATTATATCTATATCAAGCTATCTATGTGTGCATTTTAGATGAGATTGATCTATAGACCTATACCTGTGTCTATAGAAATAAGTGTATATTTAGATGATATCTATATCAATCTATATCAACAGTGAGATATTGGAAAAGTAGTTAAAATACTGTCATCTTTTACTTCTGGTAGGATAATATTTAATCATTCAAAAGTCAATAAAATACCATTGTGAGGAAAAAAACTGGGGGTAACTTAATTGTGTTTTGCCCTTGATTGAAGTACTTAAAAATGGACCAAATATGTGGATATTTTCAGGGATTCAAGCCATGAAGAAATTAGTCTATTACCTTTATCTCCCAAGGCTGGTAGTCTATCACCCAAGTCACATCTCCAAGTAGAGCTTTTTCTTCTGATTAATTAGAGATAAGAGACTATCAGATTTGTCTGCCTGGACTAGTTTCAAACCTCAGTCTTCAGTTCTCAGACTGCTAAATAGCAATGATTACAAGCATGAGCCACTAGTGCCCAGTTTAGTCTGTATTTTTAATCTACAGCTGATGTTTTCATTTTACAATTTTAAGATGCAAACCCTTCATTAAACATGAGTGAAGTTGTATTTGTTGTACCTCAAATCTCTATCATACTAACCTAACCTCCCCACAGTCTTTCCTTTCTCAATGTTTAAAAAAACAAAAACAAAACCATGAGCATTGAAGTCTAGAGGTTGTGGCTTTACATATTCTGTTCCTTCAATGTAAATTTAAATGATTCAGATTGTGCAGGGGTAATATATTCTCTTTATGGTATTATAAATAAAAAAGAAACATTTTCCCACTTAGTCTAAAAGAAGCACACTTGTTAAAATCTTAACAAGATATTAATCATTTAGTCCAAGTGTTTGCATGTGAAAGAACACACAATCTCAAGGTAAGAAAAATTCAGTTCTACACATGTAAAATTAAATAAATAGTGAAAGCTTCTATCTTTGCATGGGCAAATGATGAATTAAGTATTCTCGTTACCATGACACAAGAAAGAAAAATTAACATTGAAGTTTAGAAATAAAGTTTACTTTTTAAAAGATTCATTACAAAGAACTACACAAAATAGAAATAGCATACGGTATTACTCGGTGTTCAAATTACACTTATTAAACAGCAACCCATGAAAGCATAGGTAAAAAGGGACACGATGCAATGACCTAGAGGGTGAAGGGTTAAATAACTGAAACCAACATAAAATTTGCTATGAAAAGCATAAAAAATAGACATTTCAGTCAGCAATACAATAAAACCTTTTATATTAAGAATTGAGGGGCTGGGAAGGTGGCTCAGTGGTAGAGCGCTTACCTTGAATGCTCGAGGCCCTGGGTTCGATTCCTCAGCACCACATAAGCAAAAAGAAAAAACCGGAAGTGGCGCTTTGGCTCAAGTGATAGAGCACTAGCCTTGAGCTGAAGAGCTGAGGGACAGCGCCCAGGCCCAGAGTTCAGGCCCCACAACCGGACCCAAAAACAACAAAAAAAGAATTGAATAAAGACATTAGTATTAGAAAAGGCTAGGCTATATAATTGAATATATTTATATATAAATTATACACATTTCTTTATTTATATTTGGGAATATAAATGAAATGCAAATGAGTATATGTAATGTCACAATAAAAGAGACAGGCCCAAGAGAACTATCGGCAGAGGAGATGCTTTGATGCTCTCAAGTAAAGCAAAGAAGATATAAATCTGGAATGGAAACAATGAAATACAAATGAAACCAAAAAAAGTGCAACATTTAAACCTTTTCTTATAAATTTTATTTGAGAGAACTTTATGATAAAGAAATTATACAAATTTTACATGCAACCTTTTTCACAGAGCAGAGGATTTGATATTGCAGCAATGGGAATTATTCTTAAATACACATACAGATTTATCTTGAAAATAATATTGACTCCTAATTTGGAATTTCAAATAATATTAAGATGAACCAAAAAGCGTGAAAGTTTATATATCTTTATCTCTGAAACTCTAAAGGATTCTCTGCAACAGCAAAAATTAAAAGTATCCAATGCTGGTAGAGGAATGTAAATGCAGTAACAGAAAACAACATGTATTTCTATAGATAGCATAGCAATTAAATGATTCTATGCCAAATGATTGACAAGTGAAAAAACAGTGACTTTTTATGTCACATAAAATTTAGTTGCAGTTATCACTGAGTATTAAATGTAAACTAGTAAACAGACAGAAGTAAATCTAGACAAATGTTTATATTTGCACCAGATAAAAGCTTGAGGCAAGATATAAAGAACATCAATCTGTTTGCTGACATCAGAATCAAAAAAATAAAATCTATATTTTATAACTGTCTACAAAAATGTGAAACATTTGTAACGGATAGGATACTGGATGGGTTTAAGCTATTTATATGGATGTTTTACAAAACGAAAAAAAAATACGTGCAGTGTATTTACTATGATTTTAGCTAGAGCCTCTTCTCTTTCTTCTTAGTCCATTTCTTTGTCTTTTATTTTTGTATTTCTGTTAAAACACAGAGAGAAAGATATCTCCTGTTGTTTGAGCCAAAACTTTTGGACGAGGCTTTATCATAGACTCTGTCTCACATCCTACAGAACACAGCCATGCTCCCCACCTACAGTGCTAGAAACTTGACTAAACTATGCCATTTCTGCTTGATACTTTTAATAGAATCTTAGCAATCCTGTCTCTTTTAGTTTTCTGTCCTGAATATATATTCTTAATTCAATATCAAGAGTGATGTGTTTTTTATTTTAATAAGTTTTTTATTGTGAAAATACTGTACAGAAGGGTTACAGTTACATGAGCAAGGTAATGAGTACATTTCTTATCAAGCATTGCTGCCTCCTCCTTTGTTTTTCCCCTACCATCCCTTCCTTCCCACCTCCACAACTACCCTTCCCCCTCCCCCCAGCCTAAATTGTAAAGTTCGTTTTTCAACATAGTGTCTTGTACATCTTATTGTTGCAATGGGTCAACCTTTATCCCTATTTAAACATTTTGTTTTTTCCCTTCCCCTCCCCAAATTACACCAACATCAAATACAGTGAAAAAAGGGGTTATACGGGGGGCGGGGGAGGAACATACAAAGCAACAACAAAAATCACATGGTACCTTATAAATGTGTTAGAAACAATAGCAAGAAAGAAAAAAACCACTTTTGTTCCTATCTTGGGGTCCATTTCACCTAACTCGTCATATGTATATAGCTTTTGACCTTTCTACTTGTCCCAGACATATACTAGTTCTTGCAAATAAGGGAAACCATAGAACCTATGTTTCTTTGGGCCTGGCTTGTATTAATATTTACTTTTCATTCTTTCTCTTTCACAGACTACCGTTTTGCAGATATGATTTTGTACTTCAAGAAAAAAAAGAAGTATTTCTTCAATCAGACATATGTGCGGCGCAAAATATTTGAGTACCTTCATTTATCAAACTTAAGCTTGTTTGAAAATGGAAGAACTCATAAATGAGAACAATGCAATCAGTATTTATTGTAGATTGCATTGTGTGATCTGAGATTCAGATATTTGTACTTGTTTGAATAAGTGAGAATCAAAATTAAGAAAATAGATGGAAATGCCGATGTGTTTCTTCAATCTCAGCATTTTGGAAGTTGAATAGGATATGAGTTCCAAACTTGGACTACCTAGTGATTTCCAGGCCAGACTGTGCTATGTAGTAACTGCTTATTTTAAAAACTGGCCAATCAAACCAAACCAAAAAGAGATTTTTTTAAGTACCTCGAAAAGATAAAAATAAATATGCATATGTGAAACAATTTTTACCTAAAAGCTTTATTTTGGTGTACCTTATTAGCTTCCTATGTCATTATTCACCACTGAATACTTAACTTAGATAGTTACATTACTAAATAAATATGTTAGAGACATTTTCTAAAGAACAACAAGGAATCACAAATGGTTTACTGCATGATTAATCACTACAGTTGTGCATTCTCTCTGCAGTGGTAAAAGAAATGAAACTTCTTAATTTGCAAATTTCTCATCCAGAAAAATAAATTGGACCATTGTTTACTTTGTAAATAAAAACACTTGGTGTTTTAAATAATGCTTTGCAAATAAATGCCATTTCTATGTAGTCCAGCAAATGACTAAGTAATCATTCACTTTATTGGCCTGTGATACTTCACATCAAATTCTGGATCCATTACTTCATAATGATATAAGATAAGTCATTTTATTTCATACCTTTCTGTCACCTAATTTTTTTTGTGAAGATTGTCTCAGGGATCTACTTTGAAAATTATCTTTGCATATTGATGACAATAATTATACTCATGATAACCAACACATACATCACTATGTTCTTATACCAGGTGAGTTCATTTCATCGTGTAAAACTCATGAACTTAACCTTGTAGCCATTGATGAAAAAAATTCTAGAGACATTAACTAACTTTTCCAGAATCACACCCAGAACCAGTATTCAAATCTCAGGAGACTAAGTACATATTTTTAATCATTAAATAAAATCTTTCTTTAAAAGAGTGTGGAGAATAAGTATGGTTCAAATCATTAATATACATTCATGAAGATGGAAGGAAAAAGTCATGGTTGGTTTGGAAAGGGGTGGGGGATGAAGAAGCGTGATGGAGGACTGAGAGTCTGATGGAGGTATATTGTAAACACACATAGAAATGTCAAAATGGAACCTCTGTAACAATTAATTTATTATAATGTGGAAAATATTAAAACTATTGTATGCATTATTAATATTAACATAGTAGCTGTGGCTACACATTCTTTCATACTTCAATTTATTGTAAAGTCCAGGAATTTCCTAAGCCAGTGTTTTCTCTCATTTATGCACAAAATCCCTAAAGTTTGTGTTTCATAAGAACAACCTGAAGTCCAATCAGTACTTAGGCACTTGATTGCCTCCTATATTTGGTAGCTCATGCTGTCAGGACAAAATACCGCAGCAAGATTATTTTATGAAGTAGAAATTTATTTGTTCACAGTCCTGGAGGCTGAAAGTCCAACATCAAGTAATCGGCAGATGTGGTTTCTTGGGAAGCCTCTCTTCCTGGTATTCCATATTGCCCCTTCCTTGCTATCTTCACTCATCTTTCCGCTGTCATATGCCCAAATTTAAGTGCCCAAATCGCCACTAATGGAAAGATGGTGGTCAGATTGGATTAAGGCTCACCACAGTAGCCTCTTTATGATACAATAATCTCTTTAAAGGCCCTATTCCTATATAGCTACCCTTGGAGGTAGTGGGGTATAGAATTACACGAGTTGTGAAGGGAACACACTTGAACACATAACACTGGGATCTGTTAGCCCTTCATGGTGTTGTTTCTTTTACTTGAGTGTGTCAGGCCCATCTCAAAATTAGTGGTGCATGTGTGAAGGTCCCTAAAGAGTTATACTTTTGTCTGAGGTATTTAAGGGTGTATCTGCCATCTCTTTTCTCTTTCAGCACATTATGAAAACAACTCCACTTTTGCTGTAGCCTTTCACTTCATAGGCTCTGAATGCAGAAATGCATCTCTCCTTTCTGCCACTTAGCCACCTGGGCATAAATGTCCCTTATCCTTAAGCAAAAGCACAAATTATTGCATAATTTTATTTCTCTAATGTCCTCCCCAGAGTACCATATATCCCCAGAAGCTTCTTCCCCTCCTATTTAAGTAGTTGTACAAAGGAGTTGCAATATCACAAAGCAGGTTACGAATACAATGCATCCTGAGCAATATCACCCCTTTCAATGTTCTCACCTATCTCTCTCCTACTCACTGCTTCCCCCACTCCTGTTAATTTTATAGGATATACGTTGAATTCTTGACTATATTTTCTTCCTCTTCTCTGAATATTCACCTACCTCTTTCACTTTGAATCCACACCATCCTTTCGGTACCAGCTTCCTGATGTTTTATTTTGTTGAACCTTGATTTTACCTTTCTAAAAAAAAATTCTAAGGAAATCTAAGCATCTCTACTTGAGATCCCCCTTGAATCTACCGTATTTCCATTTCAGTTAATACATTTGGTTACACTTGAATGCCAGCCAACATATTTACTGATGAGTTTGTTAGCTAAATCTAGCTTCCACATATGAGGGAAACAAGGATCCTTTGATTCTCTGGACATGACTTACTTTAAGTAATATAATTTTCCCCACGTCTTTCCATGTTATTCCAAATGGTACAATATCATTCTTTCTAAAGGATGAGTAAAATTACACTGTGTTTATATACCACATTTTTGTTCCACTTTTCTACTGAGGGGTCTCTGGGATGGTCTATATTTTGGTACGGTGAGTAATGATATAATAAACCTGGCTGTGCTAGTGGCTTTACTGTATTGTGGTTTGTAGTCTTTTAGATAAATGCTTAGGAGTGGAATTGCTGGATCATAGGGTGGTTGTTTAATCGCTCTGCTTTTCAGAGTGGTTGAACAAGCTTACATTCCAGTAATAGTGTATTTGAGTTCCCTTTTGGCTGCATCCTCACCAGCATCTGTTATCATTTACTTTCTTGATAATGGCTATTGTAAATGGTATAAAATAGAATCTTAATGATGTTTTGATTTTCACTTCCATTATGGCCAGAGATGTTGAGCATTTCTTCATGTGTCTATTGGACATTTTAAAATTCTTCTGAGAAGACTCCTTAAAAGGAGTCACTAACTGATTTATTAATCTTCTTGTTGGTTTTATGAAAGCCTAATTTTTTAAAATTCTCTGTGTATTCTGGGTATCAAGTCATTGTCTGATGTGTAGCTGGTAAAAATCTCCCATTCTGTAGGCTGTTATTTTAGCTTGCTGGCTATGCCTTGTGCCATGCTGAAACTTTTTAGTTTGATGCAGTCCCATTTATCAAGTCTTTCTTTGCCCTAGAAGCTTTTAAATCTCAATTTCACATTAGTGAAAGTAAATTGAATCATAATGTACTGTTAATATGTTACCAAGAACAGAAATCTTATTTAGTGTTTCTGATTGCTTAGGGCCTTTGGATAATAGAGAAAATAGTAGCTAATTTGTCTTCCAGTATATTAGACTCCATTATACTCAGCAGGAAGCCTTCTTGCCATAGGTGATTCAGTCTTCCTAGAATAACTCAAAGATGCAACCTTACGAATATGTATAGGTGTTCATTTTATCATGCTTTCAAGTATTCTAATTATATATAAAGATACGAACAAGGAAATTCTGGAATTCCTATTCAGAGATAAGGGCAATGGATTCCTATGACCTTCAAGATTATGACTGCCAATATTTTTCATCATTTTTTCAAATTGGAAGATGATTATGAATCATAATTTTTATATATCAATTATCTGGAGCCATTATGTACAAATTATTTTACAGCAAGTTACCTTGAAGACTAATGTGTTAGATCAGATACCAAAAGATATAGAGAGACTAGGTAGTTTAGTGTGGTATATATACACAATTAAGTATTTTTCATCCATAAAAATGAGATGATGTCATCTTTAGGAAAATGGATAAAATTAGAGACCCTTGTGTTAGGTGAAAAAACCTGACCAAGAAAAAATGTTACTTGTTCTAACTAATGTGTGAATTATATATATATATATATATATATATAAATATATATATATATATATACATACATACATATATATGTGCATAACATAAACATTAAATGCTATTTGGAAAAGCAGAAAGCAGGAAGAAAAAGAATGGGAATATGGGGGCTGGGAAGGTGACTCAGTGCTAGAGCGCTTGCTTTGCATGCATGAGGCTCTGGGTTCGATTCCTCAGCACCACCTAGGCAAAACAAAAAAAGCCGGAAGTGGCACTATGGCTCAAGTGGTAGAGTGCTAGCCTTGAGCTGAAGAGCTGAGGGACAGCGCCCAGGCCCAGAGTTCAGGCCCCACGACTGGACCCCCCCCCCCCCACCAAAAAAAAAAAAAAGAATGGGAATATGGTAGAGGAGTGAATTTATTCCAAGTACTCTGTTTACATAAATGGAACTACCAAAGGGAAAGCTCTTTATTTTTCAAAGTTCATTACCCGAAAAATTAAAAGTAATCTCAAAGGGAGCTAATACAAGTGGCTCAGATTGTAGAATGCTTGTCTGGGAAAAGTTGAGTTCCTTATTAAATTGAAGCATTGGCATGAAATAAAATGTTGTTTTATACTCTTTCTTTTTCATACAAGTGAATATATTTAAACAATTTGCATAATCCAGATAGGCTAGGTCAATATGTGTGTTGTCAATATAGAAAGGCACAATTATGGAAGTATATTTGTAATTAATGTAAGTACTGATAGTCATAATAATAATGGCTTCTACATTAATCCTGTATTTTCTTTACATTATTGCAATAAGACTAAAAATACCATCATTAATACTTCCTGTAAATCAGTTTTCTGCCACTGTGACCAAATAGTTGAGAAACCAAACTTAGTGGGAGAGAGGGTT